AATTCAACTGATCTTGATTTATTTGTTGATATATATAAACGAATATTATCAATTGAAGCTTATTCAAATTCTTGTCTTGTTATAACTGATTATTCATTACCAAATCTTGAACAAGTAAATATTGATGAACATGAAGAAAGAAAATATCTTCTTAAACAATTACATGATAATGATAAATATTCATATATATTAGATAAATTTGAGAATCGAGTTATATTTATTGATATATCTCCATATAATTATAAACGACGTGAAATATCAAAAGAAATAATCGAAAAATTTCTTCATTCATTTCGACCAATAAAACGTTTTAATTGTCAAAATCTTCAAGATGCATATCGTCTTCTTCGACGTACACAAGAAATGGAAACACTTTGTTTAGATTTAAAAACTCAAATTGATCAATTAACAACACATAATCAACATTTAACACATTTATATGAACAACAAATACGACATTGTAAAGATTTAGAAGAATCATATCAACGTTCAACGAAACAATTAGAGCAAATACATGAACAAACTTTATTAACTATTGAAAATAATCATCTAATAACAATTGAAGAAATCAAACAACAAGAATTTCGTATACGTGATGAAGTTAAACAAGTACGACATCAATTAGAAGAAATTGAACGTGAAATGGATAGAAGTATAACATTTAATGTTTTTTCTTATATTCCACTTATTCATATTGTAACAAATATCATTGAATTAAATACTAAACGACGTATTACACAACGTATTCGAAAAACATTACATTCGAAAAAGAAAGGATTGTAAATAAAATATAAAAATAAACAACAGAGTAGTTACTTTAATTTGTATTTTCGTGCTAAAAATAAATGAATTATTTTTTTTGTATGGAGAATATTTTTATAGCAGTTTATATGACTATGATAGATAAGCAAAATTCATTAGATACATTGATAAAAAGCTTCTCTAAATTTGTCCTTAACATTGGATTACAAAAGTGAAAAATATTCATGATAGTTAAGCTTTTAATGAAGATTTTTCAACGATTTTGAACGTATCACAAGTAAAAATAATCAGGTATATATATACATTTAAGATTGTTTTCAAAGAGCTTATCAACTGATTCCTATGAAAAAAAAAATTGGGATACTTTTGAAAAAGAATGTCCTTGAATCTGATGTCACTATATAAAAACATACATTTAGTCTCTGTGTTCTGTTGTGTTCTTCGATTTTTTTATCTGGTGGAGATATTATCTATTGCTTATGTTAGAATGAACGAATATATATTGTAACTCAAGAATATTGAACATATTCGAATCAAATGTAAGGTCTTGCCGGAAAACTAACAAACTAAAAATATGAGCTGCTTATGTGACCTGCATGAACTGACGATGAAAGTACACCAACTGATAAATCACTTTTGAGTCGAGACTATATGTATCAAGTAGATTTGAATGAGCTATGAATACCCTTGCAAAGAATTCCTACTCTAAGCGTATTCATGCGAAGGTACTGTATTTGTAAGGTATTTTTTAAATGAATGCCATGATTTCACTCAGGAACACGAGAAAAATTGATTTTCGAGTTTCAACTTGAGACTTTGCACAGAGACAGTCTTTAACAAAAATAGATTTTTTTGTAAATGTTTCAGATCTTGTCACTGTTCTTATTCCAAGATACAATTATGGTAGTAGTATGCATTTTACGTCGTCCATATTAACTGGTAGATTTGATGAGCTTATTTCGGGATAGAAGCAAATCAAAAGATCTAAAACTTTCCGAAAAAAACTACTTTCGTTCAGATCTGTTTCTATGCATTATTTCAAGTCGAAATTAGAAAATTTATTTTTTCTAATGTTCATAAAGGATAACCACGGTGTTTATTGAAGAAATACTGTCAAAAAGCACTATCTTCGTAGCAATAAGCTAAGGGCATGAACTCTTTTCAGGGTATTTATAACTCATTTGAGCCTCCATAATACATATAGTCTCGACTCAAAAGCAATTTATCTATTGGAGGACTTCTATTGTTAGATATACGAATTTTATGTGGCAACACTTCAAAATTTCAACAGAATTTATTTTTCTCTTTTTCGTATGATTGTATTGAGCTTGTTCAGCTATATAACAAGTGGACTGAAAGTTTTGTGACAACATTTTTAAGCATTCTGTTTGAATGAGATTGTTGTGGTTTGTTTGAATATAGATTTGCTATTTTGTGGAACTTGTAAGTAGAGGAGTTATGCATAGATCTTTGAAAGATTTGAAAATAACGTTTATACATGCTTCAGTGCACGATAAAGTCGCTTAGAATAGTAGGAAAGCTTCATTTAGCATAGATCAAAAGAAAGAGCAAAGATTTCTCTAAAAAATGTTATAGTAATTATTAGTTTCCTCCAAGATATCCTATCAATAATCAGCGTTTCGTTAAATGATACAATGACATTTTCACATTTTATTGATTGTCAGACTTACAAAATGAGCGAAGTCATATTTGAAGGATTACTACGAGACACTCCGTTTTAAGCTTATTTTGTAGAGGATTGTCTCGTTCTTTATTGTGTGCAAATAGCCATTGATCGAAAATATTCAATAAGGCTAAGTACTGTTGTGAAAGACATATATTGTCCGGGTGCTAAACGAAAAAATTTCAAAACGTAATGAAGTCGAGCAAAAGCATAATAGGTCTAAGCTAGATTGAGTGTCTTCACGGTGACAATAAGAAAGTATCAAGAAGAATAACTGAAAAACATTACGAAACCAACTTCTAGTAGAATACGATTGGATTGTCCGTCTCAATATCTACTAATGTAACTATCTTTGTCTAAGCTTTATTTTTAAGCCTTTCAAATATATTTTTCACAAGATTTTCAAACCTAGACTCTGAAAGATCATAACACTCTGGTTCTAACGCAATGTTTTATAATTCTTATCAACTTTCTTAATCAGTTAAAAAATGAAGGAACATTTTGTCGGAAACTTTCGGTCTTACCTTTAAGAGAATTTATGCTACCTTAACATTCGGATATATCAATTCGTGGACGTCATAATCAGCTAATATTTTTTTAATTTGTTAGTTTGTTGGTAAGAGTTTTAATTTCATTCGAATATGTTCAATATTCTTCAATTGTTAGAAGTCTTATCGTTTATTGACAGTTGTTTTTTAGTTAATTTGTCGACGAAAAAAAGATTTACTTTTAATTTGCATCTAACGACATGAATATTCAAATACAAACTGTTTGCTTTAATAGTAATGACTAACGTATAAGAAAATGATTTCTGCTTTATCCATGGAATTTTTCTATGCATGATCCATAGAGAAACTACAAAATGAATTTTATACCATACTTCGTAGTCTTCTATATCAGCAGTATAATTTTCAATTAAACCGTTCTAATGTGTACGAAAAATTCTTTGATGATTTCAATCTTTGTTTATTTCTACAGTAAAAATTTGATTTAGTTGTCTATAAGATCGTTTGAACATTCAGGTTGGAAACAAGTAGAATGAACTAATTTATTAGAATTTATGTAGAGTCGATATCCCTAAAGCGAACGGACATCTTGGAGGTCTCCATTGTAATTCTGATATTTCTGTCATTTTTCATCATAAAATAATTATTTTTATATCACGGGAATGAAAACAAAATTCTGCATCTGCTCATATAAAGAAATGTTTTGAAACTGTAAGAATAGTTGAGTAGTGAGCGGTAGAAAATCAAAAATTAGAAACGTTCGCTTTATGTGCATACTCCCTAAAGCGAACGGTCAGCGAGAAAATGTCCTTAAAGCGAACGCATCAGCGAAAAACAAGAGAAAATAAAAAAAATACAGTATTTGTCTATTTCTGTCTACAGATTTCAATTAAATTTTATGAAATTTATATCATTCGATTCGTCTTCTTTAGCTCTATCATTCTCTAGCGGTTCAGCTTAATTAAAGTTGATTTCGAATTTTTANATCCTATCTTGTAGAACTTTTCAAGCTGCATCTAACCATATAAAATTCAAGGTCTAAAAAAACTGCCAACATCCCGAAAAATGGCCTACAATATCAGTCGCTAGAGTGAATAAGCTCATGGAAAATGACCTCGCGTTCTTTTCAGAGTCCTTCATTTATGAAAATTTTCCTCTGGAAGAAATTAGGACTTCATCATGGATAGAATAACACAGAGAGTTCTCTGGAAGAACGAAGAAAAATTTTTGACCCCTCTGACCCCTGAGGGGGACCACAGGAATTTTCGAAAAATTTTGTTTTCATGGAATTGAATAATTACCATCCAGATAGATAGGGTTTGAGACGTAGATTACATTCATATGATGGAAGTCTATTATTGATTCTGATTTAGTGGTATATGAAGCAATTTTCTGTTGAAAGATTTGACACCCTATAGAAAGCATATGACTTTGAGCGGTCAATCTCACTCCACTAAACTACAATCAATAATGGACTTCCATCATATGAATGTAATCTACGTCTCAAACCCTATCTATATGGATGGTAATTATTCAATTCCATGAAAAAAAAATTTTTTCGAAAATTCCTGTGGTCCGAAAATTTTGAACTCAATGGACTCTAATCGTTTGAGAAATGTGTAGGATGCGCTGGTCACCGAATACAAAGAACTGGAGAAAAGTATCTTATACCTTTAAGCCAACTATTCAATTCCGATTAGAAAACTTCAGTCAGCGTATCAAAGTACGATCCAACTGATTCCAAGTTCGAAAGTCTTAAACCAGACAAGCTCCACTAGTTGTAGATATAATGGATATGCGCAACAGGCTTAATTGTCAGTTCAATCAATAGCTAGAATAATAATATTAAATAAAGAAAAACAGAACATAAAGAAGAAAAATAATGAACGAATAGCAACAAGGCAAGCTAATCAACAAACTACTCAAAATGAAGAAATAAATAAGAGATTTTTCTTCTAACAATTGATTATCCTTGAAAAACACCTATAGTCTGCTAGAAAATTTTCACGTTACGTATTTTGTATTAATATACTGAGCCTAAAGAACACATGTCAGTTCTACGTTTCAGCTCTCCAAAGGCTGCGCTGACAAGTTTTTTGATATAAAAAAATTATTTTAAGTAGTCATTTATGAGTCATTCATTGCTGATTTGTTTTTTTTTTGTTTTAATTTAGATAATTCTTGTTCTTGGAAATTTCATGAATATATTCCAAGTGCTTGGGAAACATATTGGTTTTCTAATATTGACAAATTTCAATATGAAGTTTGTTCTATTCTTGCACGTTCTGATCAAGTTAATATAACTATTGATGTTCTTCTTCGTATTATATCATTCCAAAAAGAAATATTTGATACAAATAGTCAACGAATGTCTATTGATAATCAATTTTCAAAGATGCATTATCGTGGAATATGTTCAAATAAAGAATATAATGCTAGTCAATTAATTGAACCATTAGTTGGTCTTATTCGTGATCCGTTAACAATGTGTCCTCATATTCCTTCTGTTTCATCGAATCTTTATCTTCATGGTGAATTTGCTCTTCAATCAAAACGTTTCCTTCTTCTTGCACCTTCATCATCATTTCAGATCGATCCATCTTTAACAATAAATATTGCTTCACTGGCACCATGGCTTTATACATCTGGTTCACAAAAAATTCTTATTGATATTGGAAGTTCATATTTTAAAAGTCGAAATGAAAATACAGCTGAAATTGGTACAAAATGGTTTTATGATTATTTTAAAGAAAAATCAATTCGATTTAATCGTATTATTGCTTATGAATATGAAAAATTAGAAACTCGTCGTGTTTGGGATGAACTTCCTGATGATGTTTATTCAATTTATACATTTATTAATGTTGGTGTTGAAGTAGAAATGGAAAAATTTAATCCTTGGAAAATGCTTGAAGCTATAGCTAAACCTGATGATTATGTTGTAATCAAACTCGATATTGATAAACCACCATTAGAAAGTGCATTAATGAAACAATTATTAGGTAAAAAGAATCCAGCAAAATATTTAATAGATGAATTATTTTTTGAAAAACATATTTCTGATAATCGTAAATCTAAAGAAGATAAACTAAAAGATTCGTATGAATTATTTACAAAATTACGGCAGTATGGTATTCGAATGCATGGATGACCATAAACAGTTTTGCTCGTTCATTATATATTTCATGGAATAGTTTATCTTTTCTTAATTAAGTAAAAGTTTTATTGTTTTAATAATTTTACGTCCATTATTTTCTATGAAGAAAAGGTAAAAATGTATCGATGCATAATAAATAATATATGTGCCAAATCATCCATTAACGACGTGACTTCGCAAAATTAAACACGCATATCTCGAGATAATGATCTTACCTTAGAGCTATTTTTTATATGTTACATGTATGCTAAGATACTCTGAAAGAACCAGTGCTGGAAACCTTTATTCAGAAAAGTTACTAGTCAAAAAAATTGCGTTAGTGTATCGTGACACAAAAAAAGGACATTGACTTTCACGCCATGCATTTTAGTTTAACAAAAAAACTCCGAGTTGAGAAAGTATTTTTGAAAACTAAATGTAGACAACATTTGAGACTACAAAATCTCTATAGAAATCTTCTTTTGACCATGTTTAAATTTTTCAAAAAAAACAAATCCATTTTCTTTTTGTTGGCGACGTGACAGAATCGAATGTACAAACGAAAAAATGCTCTAAGTAATTGAATGAGAAGTTCAAGACCAATTCTAAACGGTACAAATCCTTCTTCAGAATATCTGGATGATGATTAAAAATTTTTGGGATCCTGAAAGATACGCACGAGGAAAGTTGCGCACGGCTTACTTGCGCCCGAATCGTTGGCGCCTGCGAGAAACATTATTCTTATGAACAAATGATTATACTATGCAAATGAAGTGTGGATGTAGGGTGTGGGGTGTACATGTGAATGAAGAGAAGATAATTTCCTTGCCCACACACACGCTCACATCCACACCCATTCTTACAGATATGAGCACTAATAAGTTTACTTGAATCTATAGAGTAATAATGACTTAGACTTTATTTTTCATGCTTTGTTGACTCGTTGAATTGTTATATATATGATTTTAAAAATAACATAAAAATTCCGTTGTTCTTGCTACTTCTCTATATCTGTATTATCTTTCGGAGTATAACACATGAACTTTTTATTTCGTGCGCATCTTTCGTAGACCCAAAATTTGTGTTTCGAGCTTTAATGAGGTCTCTAGAAAACCAGTTTTTTAAAAGAAGTATTTTAGAGTTCGATCTTGCTGAATAACTCTACCATAGATAAAATTTACACGGTGGAGTTTATCCTGAAATTTTTGGATTATATTTTCTTATGACTACAGAGATATTAGTTAATTACATTTTAATTCATTGTCAGTTGAAAGAACCAACATTTTTACATATGTCTATGTTAAAGAAAGGATCTTATTCAGAAAAATAACCCTTTTAAAGAGTTAAAATCAAATGAAAGATGAGTCTTGGAGTTCTTTTTTGAACGCGAGTACTTCTTAATTGCAGCCGAAAATTTAGCCAATTAGTGAAAAAAATAATAACGGGGTTTTGGAATTATTATAATCGTATTGTTTCACTTTAGTTGCTTGTTCACAATGCGATCACTTTTCAATTATTTATCAATCAACACGATATTATATATATATATATATGAGCAGTATCCGATTCGATACCATTCAATGTTTTCTCACTTAGGGTTTGTTCGTATTTCGGTCGCTTTCCAGTTCCGTCATAATTTCTCAATTTAAAAGGAGATGATAAATCTTTACTTATTCACATGAGTAGTTATTTAAAGACTTTATTATCAAATGATCGATGGTTGAGCAGAACTCTTGTAATAAACCGTCTTAAACCAATTACCATGTTGGTGATCATTGTTACGACACGCATGCTGAGTACAAAAAATAACATACAATTCACAAATACACATCGTTGTGCCCTAGTACTTAACTACAAGATTCACAATCAATAATTCAATGCAGCAAAAACCGTAAAAACAAGCCATTCAATGTTTTTTGTTATAAAATACAATGTGCCTATGCGTCACAAGCACTAATAGCGTTTGTATTTTTCTTGTTACTGTGAATTAAGCGAGTTACTCTCTACTATATAAAGTATAATTATCAATCAATATAATTGATAATATCAGGATCAAATTGAGGAATCATCAAGTAGGACTCATTTAGACCAAATAGGTAGTAAATAGTATGAAGAGCAGTGTGAAAAAAAAATTAAAATTTCTCCGCTTCGGTTCGTTCGAAATGGCTGATTTTTTTCGGTTAGTTGTAGACACTTACTTCAAGTTTTTTTTTCATAAGGTTAACGTACACAAATTTAACTGTGAAGTTATATTTTTAATATCATTAAAGATATTTCATCTGTTGTCAAGTAAGAAAAAAAAAATATGAAGTGTTTTATAGATAATTATAAGTTGTTTTTTTTTTGTAACCATTGATATTTATACTAACTATTTCTAAAAATTAGCTTTATGTGCATATGATTCTGATATCATTTATAAAATTTGTTTTAATTTCTTCTTATTATACTTTTAAATGATAACTGAAAATTATCTATGAAATGTTTCGTATTTATTTTTCTTGTTTTACAATCTGTGAAATTTCTTTAGTAAAGCCAAAACAATAAGCTGACAGTAGTATTTGTTATGTTTTCTGCATTAAAAATATATTAAATAACCTTCAACGATTAACTAAACAGTCAGCTCATTCAAGTGAACCAAAGCGGAAAAATCTCGATCTTTTATCTTTATGCTACGCATGACCCAACCTATATATAAGTATCAATGTTTATAATTTTGTATTAATATTATATAAACTGGATCTTGGAGTGTTGAAAATAGACACCGCAATGGTCAAATCATTATTATGAAGCTAAAATTATAGCAAAATTATTGTATATCTGTCGATATAGAACTAAATGGTCTAACATCAGTGATTTACTGGAATGAAAGAAAGAACAAATATTCACAATCATGAAATTTAGTTAGCACACTCGACGTCTAGATATTTTGTAAATTATTTTATGGTCTGGATCGTGGTTACGTCTAACATCATTGTGTCGTAAAGTTATATCAATTTTTGAAGTAATTAAATGAGAACATAATTAGAATATAGAAATTCATATGAATATATCGTTCCAATTTTCATGTTTTTATCGATATGAATAGTTATTTTACAAAATTACCATTTTGACCTTGTTGAGTTGTTGACCTGATAAACATATTATTCATGTTTGGATATGAAATATTGCTTTTATTTTTATTCTTTTGCGTTTATTAACATTCTGAAAGTCTTAATTGACCTTTCAAAATGATTGATCAATCAGAAAAAAAACTGATTGTTTTTTTTTATCTTGATTACCTTGAATGCTTTGACCAAAATTAGGAAGGCTACGTTTACTCAGATCTTATCTAAAATAATCATTTGTTCTAATAAGATTTAGATTCGATATTTTTTTAGACATATTTTGCTACTAGAAGACTAAAAATTGATTAATTGACATATCTGTCAAGTTCATGTTTTGTTTTAATAAGAATTAAAATTTCGATATGAGTTTCAAAACAACCGAAACCGAACTTAAATCAACAATCGGTTGAATTTCACTAAGCTAAAAGTCAATAATTGACAATTTAGGAGATACATCGAGTGTTTTATATAGTGTTTAAAATTATCAACTATTACTAATTATGATGCTAAGAAAAATGTCTAAAGAACAACAAATAATGTGTGTCAAATACTTAATAGAATAAGATATAAATATCAAACAATAATCGAAGATATAGAATTAATAATCATTTTTTATTTTGTTCTTTTTACAGTTTTTTTACCGTTTTTTTAAGAATGACTCTTCTTTGAAAAACATTATAATTTATATCGAACCTCATTATGATTGCAAATTTCTAATTAAGAAAAAAAAAAAAAAGGCCTCATACAGTAATTATTCAGCTATTTTCTCTCTTTCGAATAAACAGAAAAAATATCTTTTGTGTCGATAATGATTACGATTGAGTCATTCAAACATTCGACATTCTACCTTATTCACCATGTTGGCTAAATTAAATATAAGCACGTTTTGACTCATATTCAATGATAACTATTTATAGTGACTAAGATTTAAAAAAATAGCAATGATTTATTGCTTAAGAAAAAAACATGGTACGTTGATTTATGATACAATTCAGATATATACGTATATACAAGATTGTGTTCGCTTGAGAAACAGCCGATGGACTTTAATTAACATGTTTCTATTTTGGACAAAAAAGGAATAGGAAAAAATATTTTGATTTTTACACGACAGAAATTAACGTCTATTGGTAATAACATAGTTTTTTTCGTTTACCTTGCTGGTTCTTCAGTGTATACATGTTCTATATCTTTATTAGTGACACAAAATACAAGAAAAAACAAGACACAAAAACGAGCGACGCCAACATACGCCATCGCTTATATTATTACATACACATTACTCTTTCACTGTGATTTTGTCTTTCAGTCTTTTTCAAATAACAGCAAATAAAGGATCGAAAAAGAAATATAGGTAAAGCGTTATTGACTAGCGCACGCATATAATAATATCGAAAATTGCTTTTCAGCAAGCATATATAATGATTGGATTATCAATCACTTGCAATTGAAAGGCTATTATAATGACACGAAACTCGAGTGTATCTGAATCTGGTAAGTTTTTATTATTTATTAAATAAAGATTCTAAATAAATAAATATTAGAAGCAAAATCTGTTACATCACGAGCATCGGATTTATCAATATTAAATGATGATGAATGTAAACGGATTTTATCAGTTCTGGAACGTGATTTTCAACTTCGACAACAAGAATATAAACGATTAGAGTAAATTATATATATTTGTTTTTGAAAATTCATTTTAATAGAATTATTTTTCTTTTATCAGAGAATTAAAAAATGTGATTCGACAAGAAAATGAACGTGTAGAATATTTAGCGACTTCAAAAGATTTTAATCTTGAACGGTGTATAAGATGTTTTAAACCATTTCGATTTTTATTTAATCCAAGAAAAACTTGTTCAGAATGTAAATTATTTGTTTGTCCAGACTGTTCAACATATACATCAGAAACAAAAACATGGGCATGTAAATCATGTTTAAAATTAAAGTAAATTTTTTGACTTTATTTTATTTTTCTTTTGCGTAGGAAAATATATTCATATTCCTGTTAAAAGTTATTTCTTTTTATATATATTGGCAAAGAAATAATTTACTGTTGTGTCACATATTATTTGCTCAGTCAAGCAAAAAAAATGAATTAGATCAGTGAAAAAGAAAAAGTTTTTTTTCTATTCTGTGAATTCAAGTCGAAGGCTAAAGTGGAAAATAGATATTCAACTTATTTTTTATATTAGAATTGAAATTGATTTTATACTATAATCTTCAAGGTTAAGGATTATGAAAATATTAGGCTGTTAAGAAAAGAAAAGGTGTTTCAAGTGACAGATTTATTTTTTTTAATTCGATTCGCGTACAACGACAGATTTTATTAAATAATAAACAAATCATTTTCTTCAAAGGTTATTATTTAATGTCATATAAGAAAGCTTTTCAAATGCTATTTTATAAATTCTAATCGAAGAAAAAATAGACATTGAGATTAATTTTATTTAATATGTAGCAAGTGCTGTTATTTAAAGAGAATTACTTAATAATATATTTTACAAATATTAATTGTCTGTTGTTCTTATTTTTTTTTTTATCTAGAGAACTTGAAGTTTTAACTTCAAATTGGTTTTATCTTCAAGCAAGCAAGAAACATAAACGATGTGGTAGTTCAAAAGTAGTTCGAGAACTTCATAAACGTGAAAGAGAACTCAGTAAGTTTAATTAAATAGTCAATCGTTTTTGTCTTATCTCCTGTTATAATCATTATAGTCTTCTGTCTCGCTCATTTTCTTCATCTTCACATAGCTTATGTTTTATTTGTATTTATTTTATGCCAAACATCGTTTCGTTGGTCTCTTCCTTCTTTCCTTTTCTCGTCATTCTGTATGTCAAGTGCATCAGTTTGAGCTCATCGACCTACATATCTCTCTCTTAGCATATAAATTGAACAGTGCGAGAATATATATATATCTCCGACAACGTGCTATTTACGCACATACTGACCGAATAGTTGATGAGCACTATTGACGACGACGATAGTGGGCTTGTTCGTAGACAATACATACATACATACATACATATACACATAGTTATATTTTATTCTCTCCTCCCACTAAGTTTTATAGTCAGTTGTTATCATAATGGCAAGTTTACTTGAACAATTGCCTCCATTTGGTGATAATAATGATATTGAAAATAATATTCCAAAAAGTTTTTTAAATGTTCTTCAAGAACTTTATCATGATGGTCGTTTGACATCATGGAAAGTTCGAGGACGAGGAGATGTTCTTTCTGTTCGTTTAACATGGTTGGATCCGAATCATCGAAATGCATGTATTAAAGCAAAAGCTCGACAACATTTAGGTGAGATTTAAGTCATATTAAATATCTTTTTTGTATATTCTAGCTGATCTCGATGAACTTGACGAGGATGCCGGTTATGGAACCTTTCCAACAAGTGATTCGAAGGACTCTGGTTGGTTTTAATAAGCAAATAGTAACAATCACTATTTGCTAAGGATTTCTTTTTTGTATTATAATCTGATATTCAATTGATTTATTATAAAATCATCCTGTCATATATATATATATATATATTTTTTCTTTATCTTAGGTTCTGTCATTTCTTATGTTACTTATGATAAAAATGTGAAACGTGAATTAAAAGAATATTCTACACGATTACATTTAATTGTCGATAAATTACAAGCTGATTTAGCTGAACGTAATATACATAACAATCATCGTACAGTAAAAGGAAAAAGTAAGAAACTAAAGTAATCACAAGAAAAAAGTTTTTTTAATTAGAATTATTTTATATTATTTATCAGTTACAACTATGATTCGACGAGGCGGTGAGCTCTATGCTCATTTAAATGCTATCCTAACCATCTTAATTGTCTTTCAATTTTTATAATTAAGAAGAAGAAAAAAACCGAGGAACGAAAAACGAACTATTTGTTTCGCCATTCTTTTCTTTTGATAGAAAGTTTTGAAATTTAACACGAAAAAAGCGCACCTTAATAAATTTTTTGTTATCTCATACATTTCTTTTTCTATTTCATTCTTTTTCAATATACATAGGTAAAGAAAGTCTCAAAGCTCATCAACAACAAATTGCAACTGAAATAGGACGTGCTCGTGTAGCTGTTAGTGGTCCTCTTCGACGTAAGTATATATAAAAAATCACTCTTGTATTTTATACATGTATCTATAAAAGTTTCTATTTCTTTTTGATAAATGATTCGATACCTTGATAGATGGTGTCGTATCAAAACATAATTTACTTAAAAGAAAGACACGATATACTTTGCGTAATGCTTCTCTAGACTGCAAATACATTTACGTAAAAGTGTTGAAGGACATTTGAAGAAAAGAAAGAGAATAAAAGAAGCATCCATAGTGATTCTAGACAGGCATTTAAGGACGTTTTATATGATGAGTTGAAACAAGTCTTTTTGATTCGTTATTTTCGATCTGTACTATACGTATGATTAAATTGTAGACAGGTGGACAATTTGACAAAATATTCTTTTGATTTTCTTTTCTCTTCTGTCGTCATTTGTTTTCTTTTACTTTTCCTCTGCTTTTCATTTTTTCTTTTTCAAGAGTAATAAAAAGAAAAAGAAAAAGAAAAACGAAGTATGCCGGTTGTTGTTTATTATTATATTTTCATTTGTCATTGTAAAAAAAAACGATGATACAAGAACGACATCCAATTTTCATGCGATTCATTATCTCATTTATATCCTACATAGCTGCATTACAAGTTTTATATGCTTTTCAAAATATTCTTGTTTCTATTCCCTGTGTGGCTGCTATTGCAACACTGTATATTTTACTTTTACAACGAACAGTTTTATCATCAAAATCATTGAAACTTATTCTTAATCATACAGGTTCAAATGTAAAATCAAATGTAACACATGAAAGAGACTTACATAATTTATTAGTACAACAAACAGAAGAAGTTCTTCAAACAAATTTACAAAATTTTCGTAAAGTAATTAATTAGAAAACAAAAATTCACGTTTGTTTTTTTCAACACTTTCTTATTATTTAAAATAGACATTAACAGCACCAAATTCATCTATAACTGCAAGTAATTTCGATCAAAAATTAGGACAAACTATTTTTGATAAGTGTGTAAGCAAAGAAATCTTTCAAGAACTACCTGACGTTATCGATTCGGTATGTAAAACAGTGAATTATTTATGTTCTATTACATTTTGATTTTTATAGTCAGCACTGCCACTAAAATTGCAACCACAATCATCAAATACATCATCGTTAACATCACTTACAAAACCGTCATCGTTTCAACCAACTTGGAGTAATTCATCACCACGAACACCGAGCACATCTTGGGAGGTAAATAATTTTTTTTTTACTTTTCATTGAAATGATTCATATATTGTCCATTGAAATAGATTAAATCTCGTAACGATAATATTCATAAAATAAGCATACCAAAAAATTCAGCTGTCAACGAAGAAGAAGGTTTTATTATTTATTTTATTTCAACATGAACAACAAAAAAGGTCTTTTTTTTGTCTTCTTAGATACTGAAAAAGAAGAAGACGAAGAACGAGAGCAACGAATACAGAGTATCAATAAAACTCAACCTCTAACAATAACAGACAGTATTGAGTTTGATAATGGTCTTAAATTAGATTTAAGTTCAATTGATGACGAAACATCTAATCCAAAAAATAATCGCCATTCTCTTGATTCTGATTATGAAGCAATTAACAGATCATTTTCACGTGTTGGTGCCTGGAAAACGAATTTTACTTTAATTGAATCAAAGGTAAAATGAAATCGAAATTCTTCATTATGAAGAAATTTTTTTTTTTATTAATATTTAATCATTGCCAAATAATACGTATATTGCATTGAATATTTGAACAAGAATGCAGATTTTTCAACAACTAATCTTGTAGATTAAAATATTGTTCAATATGAATTCATCTTTAAATATTACTCCGCATGATTACAATTGATTCTTTTCTTTTTTTTTTCTCAGAAAATTACACAAAATGAATTGGTTGAAAAACATTTTGAATAATGCCAAGCCTTAAGGCTTTTTATATAAATGCATGAACGCATTATATACATTACTTCAAAGACGTTGTAACCCCTTCTCGCAATAAAAGACCTTAGGTCTTTTCGATTATGCTCAAGCATATAAAATTTTCTGCGAGCATTTTTGTGCTTCATTTATTTATTTTTGATTAAAAAGCCTCGTTTTTTAGACAAATCAAATCGATTTTAAAGATTTATGAAGAGATTTTTCGTGTTTTAAAAGTCTAGACAATTATAATGTCAATCTTCTCAGATTTTTGAGTAAAAATTTAGACATATTTTACTGTAAATATTCTAAGTAAACTTCTAATATTTCAAAAAAATCAATTAATTAACAGAAATTTTACTATTGCAAGGAGGAAATTTATTCTATATATCTAAAGTTCGGCTTTTCAACTAATGCAAACGTCTATAGATAACAGAGTTCGCGATTGTTTGTCGCTGATGGAAGAAGCTAAAAATTTGGTATTAAGTGCTTTCATTTGTCTTTTTGTGATATTTTATTTGTCAGAAAGCATCTTGATATGAATGTCTGTCAACAGCAGAACTAAGAATTTCTTTCTGTCACAATTCTTCACGAGACTGAAAAGTTTAGCAGAAAGTTCGAAATTTTTGGAAACGAAAATCTTTCTCTATCCGCTTCTTAATCACTAATCTTACAAAAGATATCCCTCGGATATTTTTCTTCATATCAATAGAATCTTTTCTCAAAGTATTATTTGTACAAAAACTTTCTTTCCTGTATTTCATGAACTCATAGACATATCTCGTTATTTATTTAAAGAATTTTAATTATGATTAATATAGAGATAAGTATCTTGATTAAAGTACTCATATTATCAATTTGGTTATCTATTAAAGTCTCTTCATTCTTTTTTTGGTTTCTTTCTAGCCTTCGTCACATTCAGGTGAAGAAACACCACGTAGTAATCGTGAAGCTGTTTTCTTAACTATTCCAATCGCTGATGATAAAAACTTAAGTCCACGCATTGGTGATAAGTAGGAGAAAAAGAAAAAGAAAAAATTCAATTAACAATAAATAATTTTTATTTTGTTTTTTAAATAGACCTCTTGAAGATCTTGCTGATGATGATTTATATGCTGATGATGAATCATCATCATATCCCATACCAATAAATACAGCAACAATTGGTGATCATTCACAAATAAGTGATAACGAGTCAACGAATATTCGTAAATTTTTTCCATTTCCAGCTAATCTTCTTTTACAAAATCATTCATCGTGTTCATTTCGACGACCATCTTATATATATGAGTCTGATAATGAATCAATAACATCATCAACTCCAAGTTTAACTGAAATGAAAACATTTAGTGATGAAGACAAATTTCGTATGGATCCAAATATAAAGGATCCAAAATTTATTTTAAGACCAAAAGATACAACAACACGTAATGGTGAAACAGCAAAATTTAAAGTCAAAGTTATTGGTACACCACCAATTGATGTCTTTTGGTTTCGTTTTGGTACTGATGATGAACTTGTTAACGATGAAAAATATCAATTAAGTTATGATGATACATATCATTACTTAAAAATTTATTCAACAAATAAAGATGATCAAGGTGCTTATTTATGTGTTATTGCTAATGATAACGCACAAAATGTTGATATGGTTAAATTATTTGTTAAAGGTTAATTTTCAATTAAATTAATTTATATTAAAATAAAACTTTGTCATTTTTGTTTCATTTTAGATAATAAACGATCATTTGGTCCACCGAAAATTCTTCAAGAATTTTCTGATACAGATGTTAATGAAGGCTCTTCATTAGCATTAAAATGTCAACTTGATCAAGGTTATCCAAAAGCAAGAGTTTTATGGTATAAAGAAAACTCTTTGATTAAACCCAATGGACATTATAGATTATGTAAGTTAACATTATAGTTAATCGAAGTTTGAAATTCAGATAAATAAAACTTTCCGCTTTAATAATATATCGATTATACAGCATATTAGTAATGAATGATTGAAAAGTTTCTAGACAAGATGTTTGTTTCACTTTTGACCTGTTTGAAAGTAGCCAAAGCTATTAGTTAGAAACGAAATTTTGTGCTTTTTTTCGAATATGTGAACATAATTTCCGTTTGAGAATAATGAAATAATCTTTGAAAAGACAAAAAAATTACTTTAGACGAAACTTGTAAGTCGACGTTTCCCGTGAACATATTCATTCATTTTGATCTACTTGAAAGTCTTTCAGCAAAAAGATCATGACGAGAATTTGAATATGGACTTATACATTTTGCACCTACTTTTATTTAAGGGTAATGCGGAATTTTCTCAAAGGTCTGAAGAATTATTTTTATTTATAAGCCAACAGTTTTTGTTTACCCTCTAAGTTTTTTTTTTCGAACATCGTAAAAATTGTCGGAGTCGGCCACTTTATAAAGCAGACATTTCTTTATAAAATGTGATATTTGACTAAGCTATAGCTTAGATTCAAATGAGACTACAAGCATTTTTTGAGTGCTCCTTTCAACGTGAGATAATTGTTGGCTTTTGAAAAATGAGAATTTACGAAAGATGAAAATTAAGGTACCTTTTCGATAGACAGGAAAAAAACCTTGAAATAGTGCATTCTATAGGATAACTTCTGATCTACATATGAGACAAAATTTTGAAAGCTCATATACGAAAAGAGCATAAATTCTGGTCCTAACTCACAGGAAGTAACAACGTGATCATTAGGTGAAAAAATGAAAGTAAACTTTTATGATATCTTAATATTAACTTATACACTTTAATTAACAAGCAGCTTTTTTGGTAGAAAAAAAATTTATTTGAAAATCTTCGATGCAAAAAAAATCAAATTTTAGCGCCTATAGACAAAAATATCATTTTTTTTGTGAAAAATAATAGAGTTGGACAAAAAATAATGTATAATCTGAAACTTGAACTTTTGTTCTATTGATTTAAGAAGCATATATTCAGTTAACGCAAATGCTTTTGGACTGAAATATAGGTTTTCTAAAAATCTTAATTTTTAAAAAGATTTTTCGCTATTTATTTGTTACAGAAGTGCTTTGAGAGAAAAATAAAGACATATTTGAAATCAGCATGAAAAACTGCATTGAATGATGTAATATTCATCAATTTTTAAAACAAGGATTTTCCATTACAAGTAATCTTTTGAATACAAATGGCTAAGATTTCTATGAAAAAGAAATCTTTTTTGAGAGAAAATACCTCATTAAAAATGAACAAACATCTTATCTCAAAACCTTGCGATCACTCATTATTTAGTATCATTTATTTCAACATTCGTTCAATTAATTTTGTAATTCTAATCAAATCGATCGAAATAGTTTTCTATGTTTAATAAAAGTTTCTTACATAAAAATTACTTTTAGTTATAATTAATCCAAATCAAAAATCAAATATTTTTGCATCTCTATTTAGAGCATAATTTTTTTTTATTACAATTTCTCCTAGGAACATCTAGTCTAATTGATATTTTCGGAAATGAATTATCGTTTGTTTTTTTTTTCTTTCCAAAATATCTTAATGATATTTCTTCGTAACTTACAAAATATGATCGATTTCTCTTGACTTTTTATTTACATTGAAAACAAATATGAACTCTTAAAAGTGTCGTCAAATCCTTTTTTTTTTTTTCTTAATGTCTATTTGTCAATAGATTATTATGGTAATGGACAACATACATTACATGTCGATGAAACAACAATCGAAGATGACAATGGGACATTTACGTGCTTGGCACTTAATGCTGCTGGTCGTGTGCAAATTACAGCCGACGTGTTTGTTCACGAAAAAGGTAACACGCTCATTTTTATCTTCATCTTACAACGCGAAGAAGAAGAAGAAGAAGAGATATTTACATTCGTTATATTTAACTTATTCATTGTATTCTTTTTCTCCATACATAGAAGTTATTGACATACCAAAAGACTCACCAACAGTTAAACATCATGAAATAACATTGAGAAAAAAAAAAGTAGATCAAGAAAACTCAAATATGGATCATGATAAAGATGAACCACCAGTAATGTCACCACCTATGTCACCTTTAAAAAGAAATGATCTAAGTGATAATGAAGAACAAGATAGTGCAAGACGTTTCATGGATAAATTTAACAATGATCGATCAAGTAGATTACTTGAAAGTAAGTTTAACAAGCTATAAAAAGATTTTAGTCAGTAACAAAAGCTATATATAAGAGTATCCAATTGGTAAGAATATCCTAGTTATTTTTTTTTTTCATATAGTTTTGACTGTATACGGGCAAAAGTATGTTTTTTTTTCTATCGGTTATAATATATTCATAATGCTGATTAAATTAGAACTCTGTCTCTGCTAAATTAAGAAATTTGTTGAGATATTTCTCAAATTTGTTTGATCAAAGAAGCATCTGTAATTAAATGATTCTAAGAAAAATCCTGAAAAACAAATTATCAATATTATAAATATACTGTAACCGATACGAAATAAAAACTGGAGTATCCTAACTAATTGGGCACTCCCATATATATATTAGTGTCCAAACTCATATTACGTTCAATGTCGGATTGAGGAAAAAATTTAAATTAAAAATTGAATTAGTCTGTATGAAAATTTCAGTTCAAAAGAATATTTCTCATTTCCTTTCAGTACATCAATAGGAATTTGAATACAATCTCAATCTATAGACTTATTCAAGTTTAAAAAAATAAATTTCCATCTCGATCCAACATTGAACTTCATCTAATGAAGAAAGGTTCTCAACTGATGCATACTGTTTTCACTAAAATTTTGTGTGCACATGCAAAACTTTATTTTAGAAATAAGCCTATGAAGGTTTTGGCTGATGTGGCTCCTTTCAATAGATAAGAGTATATTCTTTCATTCATTCATATTATTAAGAAAGAAATCATTTCAATAAACCTCGTCTAACTTAAATAAAAATCATCGTAACGTCACACAAGTTATAATTTTATATCATGAACAGATGTAGATATGAAATAGGTTAAAAGTACAACTTATTTTTTTACTGAGTTGTTGATTTATAGGGATGTTTCTTTGAAAAACAAAATTGAAATAAAGAATTTCCGCCTATAGGAAGATCTAATTGTTCTTACATTATATTAAAAGTTTCAACCAAAATAAATGTTTCTATTCTGTCGTAGGATGCCCCTCTGATAAGTTCTATTTATATGATTTCTCTTTTATTTTTACACTAAGAATATTTATATCTATCAAAAAGAAGCCGCATCAATCCAAATCTCTGTAAGCTTTTATAAAATAAGGTTTCTCATATGTATGTAAAATGTAATCAAAAAAGTTGTGGATCACCTGAGGACCTTTGTATGCTAACATACATATGTATGTATATTTTTGTTTTGCTTTTTTTAAAGACTGGCGAGATCTTTATGAGGCAAGTGTTCATTCATTACAATCAGATGATGATGAATCGAAGTCTCTAACACAACCACCATTTTATCTTAATAGACAACCCTCAATTGAAAATGCTCCAAGTAAAAAACAACATACATATGTTTTTTTTTTCTTCTTTTTCATTAATCTATTTATAGAAGAAAATCCTCGTTCACCAACTTTACAACCTCAATCAGATTCTAATGCAACAAGATCTAAATGGGCAGTACGTCTACCTGAATTGCTTAATAGTACTGTTGGCCCAGATCGTCCAGTAATTCTATTTGAAACAAAAACTTTTATTTTCTCCTTAATTCTTTTTTTTTCTTTTTATTTAAGAAACGTGATCTTTCTCGACGACATACAACTACTATTGTTTTACAACCGGAGCAAAAACAACAGCAACGACCATCTGTGTCTACTTCACAATATAAAAATGTAAAATAAATTTTCTCGTCTTTCCTTTTTCTTTATTAATCAATATTATTTCTCATTTATTCTTAGTTAAATCCACTTTCACAATCTTTTCCTGCACCTGAAATGTCAAATGATATTGAAGATGATCGTCCATCAAGTCCACTTGTTAAACATTTAAGACAAAAATTTGATCGAATGACAACAAATAATTTAACAAATGATCATAGTAGAGTCCAATCTCAATCACAAACTGGTCTATCAAAAATTCATCGAGTAGGAAATGATGAAGGAGATGGTGCTTATCCGCTTTTACCGGTTTGTTGCTTTTTAACATAACTTTTTTGATTCTGATTTAACTAAACGCTTTTTGATAAAACAAACAAATTCTTCATATATTTTAATTGATTATTTTGTTTCTATACGAAAAGGATGATGACTATAATACAAGAGATGACAGTGATGATGAAGAGGTAAAATAATAACATTCTTTATCATTACACACAAACGCAAAAAAGGTGTTGGATTTAAAAGAAAATATGCTTAAAGTTGTTTTATTTTTTTCGCACGTGTTCAAATATTAGCTTTTGCTTATTAAACATACTGGTTATTTTATGTCACTCATTTTCTTTGTTCATTTAGGTCGCCAGTCTTACATGTCGAGGATTAACATCAAATAGTGGTGAACGTTCAACACAAAAACCTCGCCCTATGTTACCAATTCAATTATCAAGTAAATAAATATGTTTTTTTTCTTTCTTGTAATAAAAATGAAAATTTTTAAATATAATCAGCTCAAATAAATCCAACAACAAACAATGATCATCACCAAAAAGGTAAAACAAGTGCATCAATAAGTTATTCGAAACACTTTTATCCCTCACGTTCAACAACAACAGTTGTAAAAGATATAATAGGTGGTGGTGCGACACTTGTTTATGACAGTCTGATACCAGATAATACATTGCATACTCCTACTTCTTCTACTCCTACCGCTGCTTTGCTTCAAAATGATTATTATCCCAATCATCATTATCAACAACAACGCAAAGAGCATGTGCGAATTGAACAAACAAAACAGAGCTTAAAAACTAATCTAATTGATAAAAATAACACTAACGAAAATCTCTTAACACTAACAGGAAGACAATTACAATCTAATTCTCCTTATAACACAAAACCAATTAATACTAAAACACAAACTCACATTGTAAGTTTAACACTAATATCTTCTTATTATAATATAAAAAGAAATCTTTTTAGAAATTAATTAATTAATGAGTGAACCGTAATCTTCTAGACAAAATATCTGCCGATTCATTGTATATTTAAGGGTATCTTCTTTCTTTTTGACCATTTCTGATTCTCGAAGAAGATAGGACTGATCCACATGAAATTCTCCAGAGGTGAAATTGGTCTCTCTATTCGATTTTATAGAAGCCTGAACGACAGCATTACGGTTTTGAATTCGAACCTTCATGTATTTCTTTCATAAAAAAAGCCAGATTTCTTAAAAAGCTTAAAATCACTTCTGAGATAAAGTTGAAGGTATCTTCAAAAAAATGTCCGACAAAGTTACACGGAGATCATAAGCAGATCCGAAGTAGTCCTATGGAAAACCAGAGTTTCATTAAAACCTTATTGAAAAGTTTTTTCTATGAACACATGTCTCTTTATTTTAGATGCTCTATCTGTGGTAAGAGCTTCATGCAAATTGGCTGTATTTTCTTCGAGAACCAGAAATGGCAAAAAAAAATGGATATCCTTGAACGCATTGAGAAAGAGTGAAAAGTAGTGCATTAGAATCAGAATTTTATGCTCTTTCAGAATATATGCTTAGAATTTTTCTATGACTTTTGATTATTGAGCTATGAGTAAATCTTGACAAGATTCACAATTTTTTAGGTGTTTATAAAGTTTATTGCAAGAGAAATGTCGATTTTTTCCATTTTTCACCAAAATGAACCTCCTTCACAACTCAGCCATTTTTTAGCGCATTTACCGAAACTCTTCATTCTTGTGCCATTTTATAGAGTAGAGATCATTCTTCAAGTGCTACCCATTCACTAAGCTTATTTGATGTCTATGGTAAGCAGACTTGTTTTCAGAAAAAAAAAATTTTTTTTTGAGTCCTGCTAAGATTTACTTATAGCTCAATTGTCAAAAACCATGGAAAAATTCAAGACGTATATTCTGGAAGAGAACAACATTTTGATTCTAATACATTATCAATTTATTTAAATACGCGAAAAACTTGTCAAATATTTTGTCTAGATACTTTCAGTTCACCCCTTTTATATCAATTGACAAAGAACTTTTATTCTTCATTAGAACAATAACATAAAATCAATGAAGCAAAGAGAGAATCTAAGTTTTGATTCTCTTTCCCTAATTTTTTGCTTTTAGTTTTTCTTTAATGTAATATTATTTTTCTAAAATGAAACTGTTATGATTCGTTTTGTTCTAGGCCAATAGTGATGACGATGAAACAAAAGACCAGCAATATTTAATATTAACCAAAGACTCTTTAAATCGATCAACATCTATGTCAGATAATTTTTCTATTTCAGCAAAATCTTTACAACAAAAATGTAATGGAACTTCTTTGGACTCAAATTTACATTTATCAACAAATCGTTCAACAACACCCGTTGGAAGAAAATCTGTTCTTGCTCGTGCTGAGCTTTGGGATCGTCGTATAAGTACAAATGAAAATGAAACAAATACTATTCTATCATCATATGATATTGAACAATGGTCAAATGAATTTGAAAAAATACAAAATCTAAATTAAACAAGAAAAATTTTCTTTTTGTTTGAGTCTCTATTGATCAATCTTTTTTGTTTGTCTCTTTTGCTTCCTTTTATCTGCAGCGCTATTTATTTTTTTTTTATCTTGGTGTTTTTTTTTGTTCTAGCAAAGTAAAAGCGAGAGAGAGAGAGAGAAAGAGTAGATTATACATATTCTTCTTGTTGCTTGATATACAAAATGATTCTCAAGGTCATGGACAATATAAAATGGGAAAGGAACAGCCGTTTGTCTTATTTGGGCCTAGAAAATAGACATTGACGACGGAATTCTTTTTTTTTCTCTTCTTTCGTGATAGAAAAAAAAGCAGCAAATATAGATGGAATAAAGGTCTGTTGTTGTTTCTGATGATGAGTAGCAGGAAAATGCTTGTTTGCTTAGACGCATGTATATGTGACGTATGAATATAGACAGAATAAACTCATTCATGCTATTGCATTCGCTGATGATAATGCAGCTTTCCTATATGTAATATTAGATCATCGATAGGATGGTAGCATAGAAAAAGAAAAGAACTATATGTACATATAGAACAAGCGTCGGATTTAGGATTCCTTTTTTTTTCTTTCTTCTTCTTGGAGGTGCTGACGCTAGTAAGATACACTTAAACAGTCTTTCTTTGGCTTCCTTGCCTCTTTTTATCTTGCCACTAACAACAACAACAACAAGAAACGCAACCGCATTATCAATTGTTAAAAATATCCAAGGTATACGACAAAATTATGCACTAGACACTTAGATAAATCATAAAAATCTAGCAGGAGAAAAAAAATGAGAATATTGAGTAATCTTTTCTTCTAGTATTATTTATGTTAACGATCATTGTCATTATATATTCTCGACCAATTGTTGTTTTCTTTTTCTTGATTGACCGATGGATAGTCAGAAGATGAGATAATATACCCTGAACGTATATCTATCCACTTATCGAAGCTTATCATGTTACAGCAGGAGTTTATGCATGTGTAATCATCACATCATTTTTATTAGTCCTTGTTTTATTTATGTATATAATGTAAATAATTTCCGGTTGACTTTTTTCTTTTAGGGAATCAAAGATGACTGAAGCCATTCTAGCTGTAAGTTTTAAGTTTTGTTTCTTTTTATATGTATTTTATTTTTATTATAAAAAAATAAACAAATAGTGCCGCCTTCGTGATATTGAAGAAGAAATGAGAGGTGAACGAGATGTACGATTTCGTCAGGAAAAGGAATTTACAAGTCTACGTATTGATTTTGATGAAATTGAACAACAATTAGAAGAAATAACAAATGCTCGTGATCGAGAAATTGAAATTAATAAACGGTAAAATAATGAAATTCTTAAAAGAAAATACATATTAGAAATCAATAAATTTAGTTTAAAACAAGAAAATCATGATTTACGTCAAAGACTTGAACTTCAATCAACCGAAAGTGATGAAAATCAAAATGCGTTTCGTCGTCGTTTTCAAGATACTGTTTCGGATTTAACAAGTCAAGTAGAAGCCTTAAGTAAAGGAAAAACAAGGTAGTTTATTTTTAATTTTTTCTAGAATTTGATTGTGTTATTTTTTTTTCTTTAGACATGAAAAGGAAAGCAAAACATTTATCGTCGAAATTGAAGAATTAAAAATTGAAGTCGAATCATTAGCTAAAGCTAAAAGTCAAGCCGTATCAATGAGCAAAGAACTTGAAGGAAAATTAATTGAAATGGGTGGCAAAGTTGATGATGCTATACGACAATTAACTGAAGTTAATGCGGTTAAATTGCGTCTTGTTGAAGAAAATTTAACATATAATCGTCGAATTGAAACACTTGAATTTGAATTAACATCATTACAAACAGTTTATCGACGAACACAAAGTGATTTGGAAGAAGCACGTCTTCATTTAGAATCTGAAATGGCTGTAAGAATAAAAAGCATTATTTTATTTTATTTTTTTAATTTTTATTTTGTTCTTGTTTTATTAAGACAAATCGTACATTACAATCAACAGTAAAAACTTTTCAAATGGATCTAGAATCAACAAAATTACAATTAGAAGATGAAATTGAAGCTAAAACTGAATTACAAAAACTTTTAATTAAAGTTCAAGAAGAAACACGTCTTTTACGTGATCGTTATGAAAAAGAACTCGAATCGAAAAATGAAGAAATTGAAGATCAACGGTAAGATGTATATTTAAAAAAAAAGAAGAATTCTTAATTAATAATTTTTTTTTATTTTTCTATTTTCGAAATTTAGACGTAAATATACTATTCGTATTAATGAAGTTCAAGAACAGCTTACTGAAGTCCTTACTAAAGCAAGTAATCTTGAAAAAATTAAACAACGTCTTCAAGGTGAAGTAGATAAACTTGCTGATGAAGCTGACAAAGTAAATCAAATAAGTTAATGCAAAATAGAATAGAACGAAGGTTTTTTTTTTTTAGCAACATAAACGAGCCGATGAAGCCGTTCGACGTAATAAACAATTAGAAAAAGAAGTTGATGAAGCTCGACAACGTTTAAGTCAATTAAGTGCCGAACTTGAATCATCTTTACAAGCTAATCGTAATTATCAAAGTGAATTGTTCAAACTTAAAAGTTTAAATGAACAACTCACAGAACAAATTGATATTATTAACCGTGACAAACGTCGTTTACAAGGTTTGTTTACAATTTTAATTTGAAAAACAAAAATAAGCAATCATTAGATATACATATATCTACTCATTGATAGTTACTTCTTATGAGACATCCAATGAAACTATCGAGGTTAATCCCAGTATACGAGGCATCGATCAAAATTTTAATTTTTAATTTTTTTATAGGCTTTCGAAAAGTCATTATCTAAAACCTCAAATTCATTATGTCTAACTTATTTTGATGTTTTATAGTAAAATTAGCCTTGATGGACTTTTCAACACTAGCCACCCACTATTAAGACAATACTAAGTAATTGCCCTATAAATGTTTACTAGAATTATACGTCTACAAGTCATAGAGTTTTTTCATACAATATATCAAAAGACAGATTATCCACAGCTGGAAAAATGAGCTATTTAAAATATTGTATATCGTTGATTTATTAGGCTAATGTCAACGAAAGGTCACAATTTAGCAGCCTAGAATATTTGTTTATTGATAGTATATGTACTATTATTTTTCGAAATCAAATAACACCAAGGTGAATTTTTGACGCATTATGCAACTTCTGAATGTTCTACAAAATATTTTAAGAATGCCGAAAAAAAAAGAAGTATACTGTTGAGATAATATAAGATTTACAGTATGAATAGACAGATAAGCAGCGTCAAGGAAAACGATCTCGGGCATTTTTTTGTGCCTTTCATTTATGACAATTTTGATATCGGAGAAATTACGATTTCATTCTGGCCTGAATTATATAGACATGTCTTTCAAAAAATGAACAAAGAAAATTCTGACCCTCTACACCCCTGAAGAGTGACCACGAGAATTTTGAAAAAAAAGAATTTTTTTTGGAAATCGAATATTAGTTATCCATATGAATTAATCATGGGACGCTGATTACAACCGTATTTTTTAAGTTCATTATCAATTTTAATTTAGTAGTAGATTGAGCATACTTCTTATGGACAATTGAAGGATCCATAGCGAGTATATGATATATAGAGGTCAATTTTATACGACTAAATTACAATTTATAATAAACTTCAATTATATGGCTGTGATCAGCGTTACATACTTTACAGATGTGGACGATTAATATTCGATTTCGTAAAAGAAGGGTTTTTCTCGAAATTTTCATGGTCTCTCTTCAGGAGTGCAAGGGGTTGAATTTTATTTTCTTTCATTTCTTCGAAAGAAATGTTTATATTATTCAGGCTAGGATGAAGTTCTAATTTCTTCGATATCAAAATTGTCACGAATGAAGTACCCTAAATAGTGTCCCGACATCGTTTTCCTTGAAGTTGTTTACTTGTCTGCTGATAGTGTCAGTCTCATATTACTTCGATAGATAACCTTCTTTGCTTCGATATTTTTTTAATATTTTGTAGACAATCAAAAATGACATAACATATCAAAAGCTCATCTTGGTGTCATTTGATTTCGAAAAATGACAATAGATGTACTATAAACAAACAGATATTACTAACTTCTAAATTATGACCTTTTTCATTCATGCTAGCTTAGTCAATAAATGATATACAACATTTGAAATAGCTCAGTTTTTCCAGCTGTTGATAATATATCTTTTGCTATATTACATGAAAAAAAACTCATGGACTTGTAAAAGTATAATCCTATTAGACATTTATGAGACGATTAATTACTATTTTATTACTAGGAGTTAGCTAATGCTGCAAGGTCATCAAGATCATCTTTACTATAAAACATCGAAATGAGCTAAACATTTGGATTTATAGGTTTTAAATGATAGCGGTCTCTTATATTATTGAAATACATAAGATCGATTTTGATTCATCCAATGATAAATAGAGATTCGAAAATTTTCTTTTATGACTGTAAAATAGGAAAATTATTTTTGTTAAAGTGTTCATTAGTGTGTACTGGTTATAATCTGTAAACTATGTTGTGTAATCATTTTTCAAGTGCAAAACCTAAAATACAAACGAAGTAAAATAACGAAAAGAAAGTGGTATTGAAAGATGTGTTCATATAGGGATGCACCAACTGTTACAACATGATGTCAAACACGACATTTTTCCTTGGGAGAATTGTAGTTCACTGCGAATTGTTTTTATCAATCGTGATTAATTTTTCTTGCTCTATTCGAAGTTGTAGTTGAAAATCATAAAATGCAAAACAAAGGCTTCTAAAGTGGTGAAAAATTCGCATTTTTTAGTTTGTTTTTCGACTAACTTCAACTGATTTTGGAGGTCTGTATTTTGTATTAGACAAAACCTAAGAATAGATTCAAAAAGAGCGTTCAAAACTGGTCACAGCTGGTATAAATAATCGATCGGAATCCGATAGTTTTCAATTCTGGAAATGTTCTAATCTCCGATAAGAAAT